CCACATTTTAAGGCTTACAATGAAATGCACTTTTCTAATGTTTACTATTTGGTGAGGTTAAACATACGGATAAAGCTGTCAAACTGTTACAGGTGAAATAAGCTTATCTATTCTCCATATCCATGATGGGGCAAAAGTAGGCATACAGTTGTGAGTATGCAAAACACAGGGTTTATTCTCTTTCTTTAAATAATTATTTTACATAATTTAAAAGGTATTTTTATCCATTTTCAGAGAGGAAGGGAGATAGAAACATACATCTTCTGCCTCCTGTAAGCCCACTACTGGGGATCCAGGAAGACATGTGCCCTGACCTGAAATTGAACCACAGACCTTTCAGTGAACAGGATGATGCTTAACCAACTGAACCACAATGGGCGTGGCAGTTTATATTTATATTATTATGTATTAATTATTGTATTATTTTCAGCACCAACAACTCTAAACCTACTTTTGCCACACCCTATATTTACCTCTGCCCTTTTCTAATAATTCTTCCTCCTCAGCCCTCCATGCTGGCATTGATTTAACTTCCTTTACAATAGAGGAATAAATGTAATTATTGTAATAATTATTTTCAGGCAGTATAAGGTATATAATCTTTACCAAACACTGGATTCCATCATGCTACACAGGTATTTGGAGATTCAACACTAATGTTTATGTAAATAGTTAATTTTTTATGGTTAAGAAAGATTGTATTCTATGGATAACCACTTTATCCATTGATCTATGTTTTCCCTTATTTCCATGTTTGGTGTTTTATAAATAAAACTGCTTAAATTATTGTGCTCAGTTCTTTGTACAGGTGTATGTTTTACTTATCTATCTGTAGCAGTGTCAGTGAATATGTTACATTTTAAGATATGCAGATATGTGATCTGAAATGGTCATTCCCTTTGCCTTCCCACCCACCCACAGTAGTGAAAATTCCAGTTTTCCCATAACCCTGCCAGCATATGTGATGGTTAATTTTTTTAAATAGTGGGCCTGGAAATGAGTATGTTAACTTGATTTCATTCTAATAACATTTCCCCAAGAATTTTTGACGGTGAGAATTTCTTCATGCATTTATTTATACTGTATTCATCTCCTTTGTTAAAATGTTTGCTCAGGATCTGTTGTTTACTTTTAAAGTTAATTTATTATTCTAATTAATAGCAGGATAGCACAGCATATAAGACATATGGTTGAATTTCACTAATTCCTCAGTGACCCCTGTGACTTCTTTGCCATATGAAACTATTGGTTGTGAATTCTAGAAAATAAATTGTTTTTTTCCATTTTTATCCTATGGTCAATTTATAGCCCACTTGTAACATACACATATATTTAATATGCATTGTTAACATTCTCCACCAGTGTTCTTTAAGTCTAAGCATTCAATAATACATATAATACGTGAAGTCTAGGCGTGTAGTATTTGTCAATTTCCCAGGTGTAAATACTCTCATCGTCAACAGGTTCAAACTGCCAAAATGATGACGCGGAACATGGACGAAATAAGATATTTCAGTAGTACATCATTATATTTTATTTTCAGAATACTGATCGCAATAGGTGTGCTCAAGAGCATTCATAATAAAACAGCTGAATTATTAGAAAGTGGCAAGTGTTAAACATTTGTTAAAGTTTGATATAACTGTAATTGATTTAAGACATACATTTTAAATACGCACATGCGCACACACACACACACACACACACACATACACACCTCCAAACTATGGTTTACCTAATGTCAGCAGCCACTTGGTACAGTGTTATTTTCCATGCTTTCCCTTCCACGGTTTTCCCATCAGCCACTCTTACTGTGATCACATTGCTTGTACTCTCCTTGCTTCCATCAGTGGCACATAACAGTTGATGCTCTTTCTTTAATATTTCAAAAAGCATCAATCTTTCCTTTATGAAGTCTGCTTGATTTTTAATCTGAAAATCATTAGAATGTACCAAGGTTAGCAATCACACCCCACTTTTTTCTTTTTAAATGTTTTTATTGATTTCAGAAAGGAAGGGAGAGGGAGAGAGAGAAAAACATCAATGAGGATCGAGTCACTGATTCACTTGCCTCCTGCATACCCTAAACCCTGGGTAATTCACTACATGAGCATATTTCACTTGATCTAAGCCAAAAGGCTGAGAAGCGATTACATGAACATATTTCAGTTACAGGTCAGGTGCCCTTTCCTCCTCATTTTGAATGTCCTTTTCTTGGTTTTGACTAGAAGGAAGCTGGAAAGAAAGGTAAATTGTAGACAGCTCACACCAATGACAAGAGAGACCAACACATCTGAGACCCGAGGGAGGAGGGGGACATGCCAGCAGGCAGCAAGTGTCTCCCCCACTTTAAAGGCTCTTAGCTGGGCTCTCCTGAGCACCCCTAAAACTTCCTCAATGGGCAAATTGATTTCTGAGGTTTGGTACTTCCTGTCCGGGCATTCTCCTATATTTTTGCTAAGATCAGGTAATATACTTTAATGTACTTTTTGTACTTTAAATATACATACACTTAATGTATTTTAAAGTTTCCCCCCCTACACTACAGACAAATGTCACTGGAAAATGGTTGTGTAGCTCCCACCAGAGACTTTAAACGCATTATTTCGTGAAGATGTTGCTTGGGGCACCATGATTTTCAAGAGCTGAAGAGCCAGGACAGCCAGGCTCAGTGGTTGAGCATTAATCTATGAACCAGGAGGTCACGGTTAGATTCCTGGTTGGGGCACATGCCCAGTGTGGGGCGTGCAGGAGGCAGCTGATTCTCTCATCATTGATGTTTCTTCCTCTCTCTCCCCCTCTCCCTTCCTCTCTGAAATCAATAAAAATAAATTTTTAAAAAAGGAACTGCAGAAGACTCCCAGGTCTGAGAAAGCCTTCGGAACTTAGGAAATTTATTATGTTACAGGAAAAATAATTTGTCCTTCAATGCAGTAAAACTGTGAAATCCTGTATTAAATAATGTTCAATATACAGACCTCAAGACAACAAAACCTCAACCTGCCAAGCGAAGAACAGAGCTTCCAACACGCCAGCATTTTTCCAAACAAAAGAAATGGGACCGAGACCGGTTTGGCTCGGTGGATGGAGCGTCGGCCTGCGGACTAAAGGGTCCCGGGTTCGATTCCGGTCAAGGGCATGTGCCTGGGTTGCGGGCACATCCCCAGTGGGAGATGTGCAGGAGGCAGCTGATCGGTGTTTCTCTCGCTTCGATGTTTCTGACTCTCTCTCTCTCTCCCTTCCTCTCTGTAAAAAAATCAATAAAATATATTTTAAAAAAATTAAAGAAATGGCTATTCCTGCTCCTACAGAAAAATGGGCAGCAGCAATGGAATGGGAGAGCAGAGCAAGTGCACCCCGAGGTCAGCCTGGCGACTGCGGGAAGGCAGCGGTCCCGGGGTCCCGGGAGGGCAGGGCACGCCCTGCAGGGACCAGGAAGGACCA